CCATAGTTCCTTTGCTAGTTCCTGTTAAATGACCATTACAATGACCTTAGTGAGAAATGTAGACTCTTGCCAAAAGCCATTGTTGTGTAGCTTCACTGGGATTTTCAGGTTCTACAGTGGTACTGGTGCTGATGATGGGAATTAGCAAACCTTCCCCCCCCCCTTCCCCACCAAGCCGAAGAGCGCGAAGTTTTGAACGCTTAATATGTGAATTTTCAGACTGCGTGAGTTGAGAGCGACTCTGATGGAATGCGTCGGCTATAGGTTCTTCTCGTCGTCGTTGCTGTTCGCATTCGACGCCGATGCAGCGGATTCGACCACAGACGATGCCATTCGGTTACGGCTCATCGACTTTGCCCATTCAACTCTGCCCGGATTTGCGCAGGTGAATAATAGATCGTGTCTAAAAGGCGGAAATGTCCCCATAGAAGTCGGCTGAGCCGCAGAACCCATTTTTGCGTTCAATTAGCGATCAGGCCCGTGAATGAGATACGAAAATCAGTTTAGATGCGATCGCAGGCTTTTTTTCTGGGAGTTGCTTATCTAATAAGTCCACGTAGACTCGTGGAGTGCCTTTTTGATGCTATCTCGGTCTGAGAGCGGCTTTTTTAGGATGTTCCTTATGAGTTGCACTTGAGTCGAGCCAAGCACTGCCCAAGGATCCCCCATTAGCACCTGATTGTCCAGTTTCCATCCTCGATTTTGTGACCTGATGACAATGCAAGGCACCATTTGGCGATGTTGCGCGAAGCGAGGGGATTTGCACTTTGCTGCCATGCGCACAGTCTCCACAAGGGTAAAGATGATCTTTTACAAGTGGACAAATAGTTCCCACCAAGTTTATTAGTTAGTGGTTAGGTGCGGTGAACGTCGTAACAAAATGAGAGCTCGTAACATTCCTGGCTTGGACAAAGGTAAGAAACCGTCACAAAGTACCTTAGCCCCCAACCCTGTTCTGCCCTGAAGGTAGGACAAAGCAGGTCCTGTATCAAATTTTCACAAATCTCTACTTGATGGCTCGACACGAGAACGGAAAGGTGCGGAAGTGTGAGAGCCTCCCCCCGCTCCCTCTCTCGAGCTGCGCCCAAGGCTAGATACGAATCAGCAGAGCTAGATTCGTATCCCCCCCATTATGCCGACAAAAGGAGCGACAAGTTTACTTGGTTGCTTCATGCAGCCAGTTAATCTATCACTGGGTTAGATAAGAATGTGGTTTTACAACATTGTGTAATCATTCGGCGGAAGGAATCGGCTTCCCATTGTCAACCAAGTCTTATCCCTTCATCAGCCTTTGCACGAGAACTTGTTTGATAAGAGTGTGAGGCGTAATTCGGCTTAGTGGGGGCATCTTGCTGGCTCCCATCGATCTGCCGATGCGACCTGTGGAGATTTGAAAATTCTTGTAAAGCTATGCAATAGCAGAAGCTTGTTGACATTTGACGAGAGACTACAGGTCTTAACAAGTTGAGACCGTAATTTAACAGAAACCAGCAAAAGAAACTTGCAAAGTGCCAAATGCCCCCCCCCCCTCTCACTGCCCCCTCTAGCTGTCTAAGCCGAAAAGCGCCGAGAGAATGATTCATAGATGACTATGTAACATGTTTTGCAGCGAGATAGAACATGCCGTAATAGAATCGTAATCGAAGACATTCCTTTTTACGTGGTACCGACACCTTGCATGGGCAGGACTTGAGTATCTGTGGGAATGGAACGTGGCAAGTGGATGAAAAGTCAGAAGAAGGTGCTGGGAACAGGGTACAACAATGGTGGTGTCAGTATGACCCCCCCCCCTTCCACAACACCTACTCCCACATTTTCCAGTTTTTCACCAAGAAATGTTCTGTCAACAGGAGAAGGAGGAGGAGAAGGGGGATGGGGTAAATAGCACATGTGAAACAGGAAAAATTAGCGGAAAGTGAACAACCAGGAGAATTTTTCCCAACGCGGCAAATATCTCCCAAAGACACATACGACCACCTTTCTCTCTCCCAACAAAGACCCCCGACCCCTCCCCTCGTCAGCGGAACAGCACGACCCCGGCTATGTGTTTCACACAATGATGCTGTACCCTGGCTGGGAACACCACATTCAGACCCTGCATCCTACTACTACACCCTTTTATTCATAGGCGAGCCAAGGATAAAGGAATGGTTGCTTGGGCGGGTTCCTAGAAACGGAGAAGCTGCAGAAATCGAAAAAGCGCCTACCACGTTCATTTGTGGGCAGAGACCGTCCCCATGGGTAGGGTATGCAAGTTACGAAACCGAGTGCATGTGTATCTGCATCTGTGTGTGTCCACAGTCCTTTTCAGACTTTCTTCCAAGGTGTGTTGCAGATGTTGAATAAAGGATTTATTGGAAACAAAAGAAGCAAACCTTGTAGGAAAGTCCGCGACAACCAGCGCACGTCATACTTCAGGAATCCCCACCGGGGAGGGGGAATTCGGACGTCGAATTCGGTCGGTGTAGGAAGAAGATCGTATTTTGTCAAAACTTTCCCCTGAAATTTTTCTCAGCGACAGGACGCTCTGGTAACAACTTTCACAAATTCGGTGGTAAGGGACCCATATAGTTCGAAAGCAGAGATGGCTCGTAGGCTAAAGGCGGCTATCGGCACCGACATCAAAAGCGCCCCACCTCACGTGGTCTGGTGGAATCAGACTTCATCAAGCCGCAAGAAACCCTCCTTACATGCTTATGTTTGCGTTTAATTGTATTCAACTTTCCGTCTGGTTAAGATTAATGAGTTTTAGTCTGGTTCCTGAACCCAACTTTCTCTCAGAAGTTCGCTTCATAAGTCTATATATGCTTCGCTTGCCAGCCTGCGGCTGTTAGCCGAATTACGTACTTCATTTTCGTGCACCTTTAGGCCGTTGGCGCTGCCTTAACACACCCGGATCCATTTTTGGACCATATGGAAATTGGTTACATCCCTTACATTTCCTTCTCTCTGGTGCGCTCAGTTTCTGCGAACGGTTTTTGGGTGAGGGGGGGAGCTCATTTTGTCACTTTCACTTGCCCTTTCTCCGCGTTTGAATAGTCCCACTTCTTTTTTCTGTGAAACTTGTTTGTGAACTCTTTGTGAACTGCGACAAGCTTGTTTCTTTAGCTCTACCATGGTTTAAAACGTTGCAACTCAAGAAAAGGCTTTTACCTAATTTGGTCCCACGGTAAAGAAAGCACGATTGGGGAAGTAAAATGCCCTTTCTCTCGCCTCCCTCCCGATTGCGCTCTTTCTCTATTGTACCCTTTTCCTTTCTCCTCCGTGCTACCGCCCGCACAAGTAAGTAGTGTTACATTTCCGCGACTTTTTTACCGCTACGAAAGAAGAGGAGCGGATGGCTACCTTCTGCAATTCGTTCCGAGTAATTCTTCCATCGGGGGGGGGCAGTCAAATATTTTTGTCCGCTCTTCTCCTTACCGAGAAGGACTGGTTCCGTAATTTCACCCCGGAACTTATTGATTACTTGCGTATTTTTTTTCTTTTCACGCGCGCTTGCATACTATGATCTTTTGATGTTGTAAGTTTTTGAGAATTCTTAATGGGAGAAGTCTCATAACACGACAGCGAGAATCCACTTATCTCAATACTCAGTCTCTTCATTCTTTTATTTATGGTTTCATGGAATTAGAGCCTCTTGCTAAAAAGGCAAAACGGTTCAACATTTGTTGTCAGATCGCTATGTGTAGGCCTTTTTAGCGCCAGTGGTCTGTCTGGGCGCTGTTTGGCGACGGGGGGGCATTTTGCATTTTAACAACTTCCCATCGACGTGTCGACCCATCTAGACAGCCTCTTCTCGAGTTGACAGGTTTTACCATGATGGCTTGACGAGCTTGCTCCAGCTTCACAAGTTCACAGGTTTCACCAGAGTGAGACTTGTAAACCAGAACTAGTGAAGCAACGAAAGTGCAAAATGCCCCTCCCCCCCCCCCCCCCCCGCCGGCAAACTATCTGCAGCTGCCGCTTGTCTGTAGCTGGGTTTACATCTGACGTAGTATTACCCCGCATTTATCACCTATTCATTTCATTATTCAGCCGGAACCATGTGCAGTCTTGTTAGCTGCAGATGGTGGGATGTAACGAGGGGGCTAGGCTGCCCGGCTCCAGCCCTTTCCCCTTCCACCTTTTGTGGTCTGTTGTCAGCTCCAGCAACTAGTCTTGAAGGAGCTGGTGCTGCGCCAAACCCCATCCCTGACATGCCCCACCTTTACGTAGTAGCAAGACTGTTCCTACGTAAAGGTGAAGAAAGTGAATGTTATAATCCACTCGACCTTGACGGAATTCTATGAGAACTTTGGCGCAGGATAAATGGCGCAAAGTGACATTCTATGCCGATTTAGGTCCACAAGTGTGTAAGATTGAATTGAGAGTGAATGGATCGTGCAAAAGCTACTATCGCGACATTGAAAACATCCTTGCATATCCGGTTGCGACATCACTTGCCCCCCGAAGACTCGCTTTTGCGGATCGTAACAAGAAACTTGCCCGGCGGTAGAGAAGTGATAAAGAAAGCGATCAGCAGGGTTGTCAATTGACACATTGGCGGTCGGGAGATTTTCAGCGTGTCGGCCGTGAGAAAACAGGATTTTTGGTGTTGCCGAGAGAAGCGGCTCATGGTTGGGCTAAAATCAGCGCTAAGAGGGTTGGAGTACCATGCAAAACCCCTTGTCCTGCCCACCACCTTCCGAAGTTTCTCCAAGTTCCTATCATTTTTTCTCACTCTTCGAAGGATTACTCCGTTTTCCCCCGAAAAATACTGTCAAGAGGAGTGCAGGGGGAGGGTGGGGGTTGCCACCAACAAACATCTGTTTTCAAGCAAGACAGTTTTCAATATCTGTTTTCAATTATGGAAAGTAGTAGGTATATAAAACCCTGGCTTCGCCACCGACTGAGGGGGAAGGGAGCAACGAACAACCTTCCCTTACTGGGCAGCGAGGCTCCCTTATTGTGTCTGGCAACCCTCTAGGGTTTGAGGACCTAGCTGGGCCGGGCGAAAACCAAGCCGGCAGCGGCTGCTGTACCTGATAGTTTCCCAAAGGCAAACTTGATCCTCCCTTCCTCCAGCGGCCAAATACGACCCCCATTTCAACAACAAACAATTGGGCAACCACCGCCGTTCCCTTACAAGTCCCTGAAACAATAAAAAACTAACTAATCAAAATCAATATTTTTCCCAGCCGACCCCCGTCTCCCAGCAGACCAAATACACCCCCTTGTGGTAATCCCCAACAATCTCTCCTAGTAGGACAGGATGTGCCCCATCATGCTCAGGGCACATCCTGCCACTGAGGAAAAGTTCTGTATAATAGCACAACACGTGAAACGGGAGAAACCGGGAGAAATCCACAACCAAAAACATTTTTCTTAAAGGCGAACATGATCCTCTCTTCCTCCAGCGGCCAAATAAGACCCCCTTCTCGCACCTTTCGCTGCGGTAAT